CACATGCAAAATGAAGATGATAGCTGTATATCCCAATAGAGGAACTGTCCTAATAAACTACTGGGAAAAACATTAATTCTGACACATAACAGGCAGGTAATATTAGGGTGTAATAAACTCACACATCATCAAAGATAAATATCCTAACAATCAAAAAGACATTAAATGGCTAATATTTGGAAGTCAGACGCACTGGACACTTAATGTTGAGGCGTTGAGCTCCTCTGTTCTTTCTTTCCTTGTAATCGAGAGCGTGGCTTGGGCTTTTTGGAGTAGTTTTAACATATTTTTTAGGCAAGAAATTACACCTGAAAACATCTATGCCTTCAGTTCATCAGGATTATGATCCTTCTTAAATATCCTGTTCTTGTTTGGAGCAGCAGAGCATCCCACATACTGCCAGGCGACAGTGCTGGGAGTCCCCAGTGAAAAGCTCACAGAAGTTGTCTTCTATTTTTAGTTTGACAATTTTTAGGTTTTCTGTAAAAACTTTAAATAAATAAGCCTGCCACTTTGGACGCTTGAGCACTCGATATACTACTCCCAATGATGGAAACGCTGCAGGACTCGCTGCTCCCGCTGCTTAAATTATGCAGCTGAGCTCTTACTGCTCTTAGATGCTATCTCCCATCCGCTTTGCATCTAAATTAGGCGCCCTGAATCTCAAAACATGCTTGGCGGGGACGCACAATGGGGGAAAATTATCTTAACAGAAATAAAGGCTACTACCTAGGGCCAAATACGGTTATTTTCTTCTTTAGTTTGACCTTTTTTTCCCTTTTATTTTCTCTACACTTTCTTTATTTCAAGCATTCAGCATGCTGAGGTGAGTGAATCTTCAGAGGAACATGCCCAGCACTTACATCAATAAAGCATAGCCTTGAAGGACAATATAGTGTAAGTAAAACACGTAGTTATACAACAAACATGCATATTTTTTGGCAAGGTTCAATCAATTAAATAGGTAATTTCTTCCAAATTCTTCTTAGTTTTCTGTTATTTATAATGGTTAATAACAGATAACATAAGATTAAGACTAAACTCTAGAGTTTAAGTGAATAAAACTTTTGGAGAGAATATGCTCTTTACTTTTTCAAATGTTTTGTTGAGATGCTAAAAGAACAAATTAGGTAATTTGTATGACTAATGTACAGACATCATGTTTTTCTATTTGCTCATGAGAATAAAGTTTTCTTTGACATAAGACCTTCTAACAGAGTGTCTATTCATCACTGACTTTTTTAAATAAGTGAATCTGTTTTTTACATTACTAAAAGTTAATATCCCACCAATGATGATCAGTTGTCTTAAACCACCAGTGTTTACATACCAACTCTGGTATCTTTTAGAGATTCTTTCTCATCTTTATCTTGTTCTTTGTTGGATGTTCTGCCTGAAGTGTGTTCAGTCTCTCTTTCCTACATACCAGAGGAGAAGAAACATGTCAGAACGTGCGACAGTCTTCTGTTGGACAGAAGTCATAAACAGAAATGAGCAAATGTTAAAGTGAGCTGATGTAATTGCAGAGAGATGACAGTTGCACCCACTGTGATGTCTTTCAGGGCAAACAGCTGTCTCTGAAGGGAGTGGATTTCCTTCTCCTTTTTTCTAAGCGGATGTCTGACACCTTTCATCACAGTCTGAGAGAGAAGCAGCATGCAGTTAGCCTATTTGTGTTACACTTGCCCAAGTTCCACTGTATATCTGTATAACATGCTGTTCAATTCTAGATGCACCCCGCTTATATAATGTAAGAAATTTGATTGCTTTGGTTACTATAACGACAAAAAGAGCCAAGGTTTGGCGGTAGCCTATTTGTATTAATCAGAGAGAGTCAGGGTTATTGTTTCTGCTATCATATCTCCTGGTAAGTATAAAACAGTTTCCAAAGAAGGCCACAATGTACACTACACTAGAAAGAGTGACAAGGGGGTAATTTGTTAAACAAATAATCAAAAAAGGAGGAAGGCAGTAGGTTCTGTCTGATGAGCTTTACATTCATGCAATCCTCATCTGCCTTTTTGACAAAGTTTGGTCAAAAAACTTGTCATATGAGTTCAGCTTAAAAGAATGCTCCCACCTAGCATACCTAAGAGTATCCCTGCTCATCTACCAGCTGCTCTGTTGGGCTGCTATCTGTTTACAATGATGAATACACCCTTTGTCCATCAGTTGGACGGAACTATTTAACCAGTGCGAGGACATCAAAGAAATACATGAAATTTCAAATAAACAATATTTGCCTGAGCTTCTGGAGTTATCCCATCAATCTTTTCGAATCCATCAAAGAGGGTTTTGTAGAGGAAGTTCTTCCGTGTGGCAGCATCATTAGGCGGGAGGTGGCTGAGAACAGCACCTTTGTGTTGCTCATACAGGTATAAGATGATGCGTACTGCCAGATCTCGAACCCCTTTTGCTCTGTGCTCCAGAGCAGCTGTGCAGAACTGGAATAAGACAAAACTAATTAGATAAACATGAATAAATACTGAAAAAATTGTTTATAGTTTTAATGTTTGTTGGTATTTAGCAGAAAAATATTCAGTTTAATAATTTTACTAAGGGTATTTTTTTTGGTCTGTGACTTCCTTTTTATGTTGGTCAGAAATAATAGTTTAAAGACTGAAGAATAATTTAAAGACGGGCGTTCAGTTTGGATCCTGCCTTTTGCCCATAGACTAATGGATATAGGCACCAGCCCTCATGATCCTGATAGATAACTGGTAGAAGACGGATGGATACTTCAGGATGTGGATAGTAGGGCTAACTGAAGTGGGTTTTATTCTTTAAGAGACATTCAACACCTTGCAATTTCAAAATAAATTCTAGTAATGTCTCGGTCATGGTTGGATAGTGTAAATGAAGGCCTAGGAGAGAAATGATTAATAATAACAAGCTAAACCTGTATTAATGGACTATTTCCTTCTAAATGAAACATGGGCAGGGAACATGAGTCTGTAGCTATTAATAATAGTCGTCATCTGAGTGAAATATTAACCCCTGTCCTTCAGATTAAGAGATATTTAAGGCAAATGTCTTTTCATGAATATTGGTTTTAGTAATTGGGGGGGAAGTTGCACCAATATTTCTTTGGGGCCTAGCAAGAAAAGTTTGGGAACCACCGGATTAAACGGATGTCATGTTCTGGCATCAACCTTAAAAAACCATATCAGTTGATCTCTACTTCTTACCTTGAAGAAATTTGGGATTTCTGTTATTGAAAAGTATTAAATAAATACTCAAGTCTAGTGAATGGTTCTTTGAAGGGTCAGTATGGTATAAATAAATTCAGTCTAATCATTTATACAATCTCTCATGAAAGACAGCACAATATATTTAACATCTGATTTCTTTTACGTGATCTAACCTTGCATTCATGATGTTAAGAGGCAGTTCAGGCCAATGATCACGTGTTTGAAACATCCAAGTAAAGCCTGCATGTTTGTATCACTGTGTTTGTGTGCCTAGACATGGGAGAGTGTCGTTTCAGTTGGCGGTTTATTCAGCCTATCAGCTTCCTGCCTCGTTCTCTTATTAGCTTTCAATGCAAAGTTGGACAGTATGGCTTAAAGACGACTAAATAGATTCAAGAATACAGACTTTGGAGAGGTGTACCCTGTCCCCTACTTGACACTATGATGATGACAATAAAGATGAGCTTCAATTTTGATGCTATAATGAGTTTATGCTGACATGTCTACGGGTGAGAAACCTTTTGGCAAAACGTTTGTTCAAGTCAGGTTAGATTGCGGAAATCGGAGCTCTAAGCTGCTGTTTGTCCAGTATCTGCATTACAAGCTCTGTGAGGCAACAGCTAAATACCTGCAGGACGATTGAGAGGCTTAGATAAACATTTATCTGTTAAACTAATGGGAGGGACATTTTCTTTAAACCAAGACAATTGGTAGTTCAATCTGTCCACAGTGAGTAATTTGACCACCATACCACTTTTATTAGACTCCCAGTACTGCTGTTTCAGGAGGATATGTCTGAGTCATAAATCTTTAATAAATCTGTCCACAACTCGGTTTTTCTGGGTGGGGTGATGTAAAATGTTTATCTTGAACTCAAATAGCCCAAACTGTCTACTTGCAAAACCATAATGTGATCTGGATTTGGCAGCTATTTGTTTCAACCTCTGCATACGGTCCCTGAGAAGGATGGTTTGATTAATGGTCAGAAGACCAAACACAAGCTATATATATATATATATATATATATATATATATATATATATATACATATATATATA